ATCAAGACTTTTGACACTTGCCATGAAATTCTAGCAGAGGTACCGCTTAGCGGGGTGTCGGTAACAAAGGCGCCGAAAATCTTGAGAAAAGGCAATCTAATACCACAGGTAATACTGTTTCGAGCATTTATGTTTATAAATATATAACTTATGGTCGGTACGGCAACAACTCTGGACAGACGAGCTGCTTGATGCTACCATATTTATATCGTACGGAGTATAGTAGATAAGTACAAAGTCACCAAAATTATATTTCTTAAGTAGAACTCCGACTGATGCATGGAGGTTTGAGTTGTTTTTGTAGGTATTTATTGGGAGTGATCAGGGGATTTACGACCCCCGCGGACTCTTTGTCTGCGTGGACACTTTTTTTTCTTTTAAAGTTCTATTGGGAAACTTGTACTATGGTTATCGGCAACACGAGACAATAATTGCTCCTGCTGACTGCTAAACCTGTAAGTTGCATAGCACAAGCTGCGTTGATTTGGACTGGAGATGGAAGAGTTTTCCGGACGGAAACACAAGATCACTTCTTTCTCTAATGTAGGTGTTCTTACCTTTTGTACGTGTACTAATATGTGACAGCATTGTATTAGAAAAACTCATTCCCATCAAAGAGGCGGCAACTCCGGTTATTTTTCCTGATGCAGCATTATCTCAGTGTTCTGTAGCTCTACACATATAAACAATATTTTAGATACGTAAGGTTTGAGTTAGGATATGAAAACGCAAAACTAGGTTTTCATTCCTTTTGAAAATATATGAAATTTGCAGCGGTTCTTCAGGAATCTTTCAATTATCTCATGCAATAGCCTTATAAAAACTCCAAAATTCATAATACTTGATATGTCATCGATGTGTTTGTTTTGGATTCAGTATCTCTAGAGGTACATGTGTGATTCTCTTCTATGTTATCTAATGGTAGCGTGACCATGCTAAAGAGATCAGTGTTGCTTCAATAGATTTGACATTGAAACAAATTTCTTAGCAAAATAGAATTAAGCGCTCATGTGTGGGTGAGTGCATGAAGAACAATAGACGCCGTACTCTTAGCTAATGAATTTCAAATGAATATATCTTAAACGTTCAATAGTGGTTTAGTGTAATCCAACAATTTCATCAAGTTCAAATTTTGTTCAAACCAGCGAAAGCGCATGGGAAAAAAATGTATATTTTAATGGTCGTTGTGGTTCTCAAGTCACTCAGTGCTTGTGTATTTACATTTCAAGCTCCTATAAAAATACTGTCCATGTTTTGGAACTAAAGCCGGCGACTCATAGGAACGTTTACTTTTATTTCTGAAAAAATGGCCGAATCGTGCTTAAGTTTGTGAAAAAAAAAACTGAAAATGCTTAAGTTTTAAACTGGATGGACCACTAGTACACTCATTCTTCAGTTAACAAAAAAGAAATGGTAAGGTCTTCGCAGTTCGATAATCCTTATTGAACGACGAACAGTAGCATGGTCATTTCAATTAAAGAAATTTGATTACGGTTTTAGATGGGTTACATTTAATTACTCGCATTATACCAGACATAAAGTTCGCAGGAGCGACTTAGGTCTGACCTATTTTCCAGTACAAGTTTAGTTATGAATTCTCCTAAAGCAGAAACTGATAGTGGCCAACATAAAAATATCTTGTATAATGTGTGGGATAGAAATACCAGTTAGGTTGAGTGTTTAGTTTTTAGATGGTATATATAACGTTTCCAAAGAAGGATCAGATCAGATCAGATAAGAAAATAGCAAAATACGTTAAAATTTAAACGAGTTTTGTTGTGAAGCTCCTCTGTAATTTTTAATGCTACGAACATGTGGCATTCACTCTGTTCTCCACTTCATATTGTTCGTTATTACCTGGTTTAAGACAAACTGTTTTACTATAATGCAATTTTTGAAATTTGATGCCGTTTCAATCTCACTTTTAAATCTCCCTTTTTAACAAACATCCTATAAGCAATCTGCAGTACATTGTAAATCTCATGATTATATGATTAATGAGAGAAATGGTTTTTGTCAAGTCATCGGGAGTTTTTTCATTCCAAATTATACTAATTGGCCTGCTACAAATAAAAATTCGAAAGTTGGTTTTTTAATAATATTAAAAGCGTTGTATTTATTAAATTGTAAAAAAATATTTTGTTTCATTCTAGTACACAGAATGGGAGAACGCCAACGATGGCTATTTGAACCAAAAAATGGTAGGCAGCGTAGTGGGTGATTACTTCTTTGTATGTCCAATGAATGACTTCGCTGAAATGGCAGCCGAAAGAGGCATGAAGGTCTACTACTATTATTTTACTCATGTAAGTAGTTAGATATAAAATATCTTAGTTAATAATTAAGTAGCTTTAACGCAATGAATTTCAGGAAGGTTTTAAGCGGATTTTTATAAATCCATAGCAAAATACAAATAAATTACAGTGACAATTACAATTAATTAAATACAGGAATTTTTGGAAAAGGTCGATATACTTTCCGGTAATTATTTCTAAATAATTTCTTGCCTTGGTCTTCTGAACAATTATGCTTATTTATTGCCTGTCTCAACTGAGAAATCCAAATAACGTACCGTACAATTAGAAGAACCTGGATAAAAGCATCAAAATGGGGATATTGAGCAATGATCCTAGCTGCTCGTCACAGATGAATTCCACTTTTAAGCAAATTGGATAAATATTAGATAAATATTATTTTGCCACCGAAGAGAACAGTGTGAGAAATTTCTATTACTCCTACTGTTTCCTATAGTTGATTTGGGTTATGTTTATGGGTACGAACTGACTTATTCTTATATCGTACCTTTCGTTTCACCTATCGGAGTTAACTTCTTGCTTATGCACGATAAGACACGACCCCATGTGGCTCTTCGCGTCTCTACTTTTTTAAATAAAATCGGGTTAACGAAGAATTGACCTGCATGTTTCACGGATGTTAATCCAAACCAACGTGTATGGGATGTGTTAGGTCGACGACTAAGATGTCAAATTCCAGGTGCTCAACATTCTTTCAATATTCAAGGAAGAGCTGTTTTCAACAAGACTAGGAACAATCTCCATCAAAAATTGATAGAGCACCTGATTAAAAAGATGATAATACGAACGGATGCTGGCATAAGAGTCCGTGGAGAATACACACGTTACCCATAAGATTTTGTATTGCCAAGTAAACAAAATTGCGAAATTACCCTTTATCAAAACATGTTTTCAATAGATATTCTAGACTAATTTAAAAGTTTCGTAATTAAAGGAACCGTCGAACACCAATATTGTATCATACAATATAAAATATCAATAGTTCACCCCACAGGACGATAAAAAAATATTTGAAAAATCGTTAATTTATCTCCGACACCTTTTTAACCTAGCTAAAATTCGCAAAAAAAAGATGAAAATAAGATATAGGGTGTGCCGGAACAGTGACTTTTGTTGAATTATTCCCGGTCCTTCCATTTTGCCGATGTGCATATTTTATGGTATCAGCACCTAACTTAAAGTTCACTTTACTAATTAAAATAAAGAGAGATAGCACTTCGAATACTTGTTGAGTCGACCGTCGAAGTTTCTTAAATGGTATTTGGAAAAATTAATTGATAATGTTAGTAAGTAAAATTGTAAGTCTATCAGCTGAAACATTTTTATATTTTCTCACGATTATCACCCTCATAATGTCTATGTTGAATTTTTGAGTTATCTTGCACAAATGGGTAGGCGCAAAGAGAATTGAATCATTTTCTTGGCTTAACATTTTGTTCTCTTAAATAAAATGGTAATTAAGACCCTAAGATAGATAGCCAGCAAGATAATTATTTAGAATTTTAACACCGTATCAACAACTTGTATGTTAGTGTGTGCGAGCCGGTTTTTTAAGAAAAATATTTTTTGCGAACGTCTATAGTAACGGATCTTTCGGTTTTCAAATTGACCAAAACTGAAAAAGTAGAAACAGTAACAAATTCACGCAAATTTTGCGTCTTCAACTGCCCTTTAAAATTAGCTCAAACTCAATAATGCGAAAAGACCTGAAGGACAAGGTGACATTAAAAATAAATGCTAAAATCGCAAAGGGTTTATTATACTCATCCTTTGGTGTCTTCTGAATTGCTTGAGAGTTTTATGGTATGTTGGACCATACTATTTCTGGAAACTGCGTGCTTACCACTTTTCTAAAACGAGATTGAATGTGCCGGATTATTCGATAATAAAACGACAATATCTGCACGAACAAGTCACGCTTACTTAAACCTTTACCGTTGATTAGTTTCACATACCTACGTGTTAGCACTTTCTTGCTGGTAACTATTTAGAGTTTTGTCTAAATTTTGTAAAAATTCCAATGCAATGCAGAGGATTATTTTCTGGCAAAAAATATGTCACTCTGTGGTGATAACATGAAAATTTTCAATGATAATATCTGAAGAACAAGGAAATCTAGACAAGATTCTTCCCAACCGTTTCTATAATAGTAGGAGCACCAAATTTATGTACCAGCTTATTTGCCCACAACAATCCTGTAGGCTCCAGCCACTCTAACTCTATAATTTTAAACGGCAACCAACTGGTTTACGACTGCATTACACAACGTTACATTTGAGAATTTTTATGAGATAATAAACACGTTCATTTCACATTCTGAATTCAAGCAAATTTATAATGCACCAAATTTATTTCCACTTAATGGAGCATCAACCAATTAACCAATTTTTACGAAGACGATTAGGTACAAGTTTAATTTTTACTAAGGTTCTGTAAAAATGATAAAGCCTTTTCGGATATTTTGTACCCTATGGAAAAGAGGCAATCACGAAACTTTAACGGGAAACAACTAGCTCTTGAAAGTCTGATATTATATTACGTGTGTGAGGTTGTGTGATATGCTTTTGTCTAAACTTTTGTGTGTTTTGTCTACATGTTTAGTCTTATAAACCTTGATGTATTAGCTACTAGTGTTTATAAAAATATTTTATATTATTTGGTCGTGGTTTTTGAAAATGCGTACGGGAAATTGTAGCAAGTTTCAACTGATATAATTAGTTCGAATTAAAATTATTATAAAAATTGAGGTTAAAACAAAAGAGCATACCTGCGCAAAAAATGAACAAAGGATTTTCACAATTACTTCAAGTTATAAAATAAAGGATTGATAAATATGTGTGATAAAAGCATCCAAATGGACGCTACACAATCAATGTTAAATAACTAACGGTGTCTTAAAAAGCCCCAAAATTCAGTTCAGTTCAAATTTACTAAAAATTAATCTCCATCAGGCAATGCCAGACACATAGCAGCTTGCAAAAATTGTAAGTCCTCTCTCTAGTCATATATGTCGCACATGTCATATACAACCCAAAACAGCATAGTCTGATAAGAAATTTGGAAATGTTAAAAATGACTTCGTCGTATTTGCAAATTATGGAAGTAAACAATGGTGTTGTTCGAAGATTCAGTAATTTTCAATTCCAGGCATAATTAACCGTCAATTATAAACCAAAAAATAATCAGGAAGCAACTCGTGCTTTGTGAACATTAGAAGAGACGTTAATCTTAGAAGTCGGACTTTGATGTAGTCCGGTTTTTGTTTAACTTCTGAGACCCTTTTGCATGGTCCGAGCTGTGAAATTAATGAGGGTTGTGCGTGACTTAATTCTAGGGACTAAAACTTCACATCACCTATGAAAATACGTTTTCCTATCGCACGCCCATTTGTTAAGATCCATGAAAAACACCTTGTGTGTAACTGGGGTATTCCTTAAATGTGAATAAACTTTTGCAGCACGCTATGTGTAAGCTCGGTTAATTCAGAGCAATAAAATAAGCAGACTTATCGAATTTCATGTTCAATGCCACGTAATCAACTTATCAGCTGCAATCGCCCCAATATCACTCAGAGGTTGTCACTAAGTTTAAAATACCAGCAAGATGTAGAGATGAGTATGGAAGAGCAGTAAGGTGCTTTTGTAGCTTGGAATACTCTATAAAATACCATATAATGTTGGTATAATTAACGCAACGCAAACACACTTAACGGATTGATTCCAGTTTTAAAATGTTAATAGTATGTGCAGACTTACACAGAGAGTCAGGGCTATCAATAAAACCAAACTTCGGTATTTGTATTGTTTACGTTTACTAGGATGAAGAACTAGAAGTTATCTCCAAAAAAGTTTATGTATTTTCCACAATCATGTTATACAATGATCACTTTGTCTACTGCTACACGAGTGCAGTTCGTTAATTTGTTTGTGGAACTTCACTTCTTTCTGAGCTTCCCTGTCTTTGCGACCATAAAATGTGGCTAGCATATTTAATTTGCAAACAAAACTGTATTATATTTTCAAAACAAAAGTGGAAATACTAACATCATTCAATTCTTGTTAACTTTACGAAGGTTTTGCGGTAAAATCAGACAGTGAAACATGATTTCACTTTTTACATTGACATTTAACAGTGAGTGATAGTCGCTAATGGAAACTCGAGTATAAGATCTAGTGACTACTTATCATTGTATGTATTTCCAGAAGTTTTTTGTTATATCCCACACCGGATTTACCCGGTAATTTCAACCACTTTTATTCAAAAACAGAGCTGAACAGAAAAATACTTCTGAACTTTTCTTTGGGGAAAAAATTAATAATAGAATAGGGTTCAATTTTGACCCTAATGAGTACCAACTTATTTAATATTTTATTGTCTGTCTGTCAACCCCTTATCAGACCTTTATCCTTGACATAGCGGACTCTGAATAATCCGCTGGGATGGTGGATTTTCTAGAGGCATGGGAGAATAGTCCATTATCTCCGGGAGTAGGTTTAATCGTACAAACCAAATAACTCATTTTCATTGCTGTAAAAAAGTGCCGGTTTCTGCTCAATTTTAGGCAATCATAATCTATAATAGCTTCAAACGCTACTCAGTTTAACTATTTAAAAATAATGAACAATACAAATTTGCAATTTCACGGGAAGTACGGTAGCGCCTTTATTCCTAAACAGCAACTAGACAGCAATTCCATTACAACTGAGAATACTAATGCCCCACATTCTATGTTAGACGAGAGGGAAGACAATAATCCCCCTGCTAAATACACACGCAGTTATCAAAATATAGTTTTGAATACACAAGCAAATAACAAGGGCTTGTTTCAGGTGATTGCGAACGTCCGAATCGAACTTCTTTCTTTATATCCGTATGGAATAATCCGTTTTGGGGAAAGGCCTCCTCAAGATGAATTAGTTCCGTTTTCAGATGCTGTGGTTCATATATTTTCTTAGCGCTGTCTTGCGTGCAACTTTGCAATAGTTCTGATG